GGGGGGGGGGGGGGTGTTGTCAATGGCTGATAATTATTTAAAATAAATAAATATACAAACATTTTTTGACTGTAGAATGAGACATCAGTATTTAAGCAAATATCCTTAAAGGGCAAGTTTTGAAGAAGCATATAATTGACTGGACAAGATGACTGAAGAAAGAAAAGAAAAAGAAAAAACCTTACCCCCTACCCTTTAACAAATTTCATTTTAATACAAGAGAGTAAAACTAGTTTCATTTATTAATATCCTACTAATCATATTCATAAATCAAAGGAAAAATACTGTGTATTAAATACATTTCTTACGTTGCTTATGTTGGCTGGGGGCTCATTATTAGGCTCTTCACACGGAAACTGGTCTTCCCAATTTTTCTCCCTGAAGCGCTGATCTATCGGCATTACATGGCCTTCTGTAGTGAAGATGTACTTACTCTCAGACATGTGCAGTGGGTTATCTTCATCAAAGAGCTGTAAAGGAATGTTAAATATCATTTAGTGATGGACATGTCAGCTGCATAAAACTTAATGTTTGGCTAATAAAGTTGGTTGACTATGTTTGTAGTTTCTCAAATAAAAGTATGGCTAAAAAAGACTAGATGCAAGAAGTGAGAACAGGATAATATAAAGGGAGAATAGTAGACAACTAACCAGGTAAAGGTATTTGCATGTTTCGCTGAGGAAGAAACTTTCCATGCGATCTTCTTTGGACTTATCCACCACATGATGGAGAGTGGCATAACCACATCTGTGAAGCATACAACCAAAACAACTGTCCTGAGAACATGCCAGCATCCCAATAAAATCACTTTCTGCCATTTTAAACCATATACCTGACTTTGGTATTTTTTTCAAGGCTTTCAAGAATGTCCATCCCAACGTGAAGATAAAAAGGATTCTTGGTTGCCTGCAGAGAGTCAAGTTTATCATTAATTATACTGTAATGCTGTGAAGTCTAAAAATCTGGTTATGATGGGACCAGGTTGTACCTGATAGAGTAGGTATGTGGATTCTACTAGTTCTGGTCTTAAAGGGTAGAAGAGAATATCTGGGGCCTGAAGCTGCCAGTTGTATCTTTCCGGAAGAGCACCGAAACGCTTCCAGATTGCATAGTAGAAGGCATGAAGGCAAATGGCATTTTCAACATCTCCATTCAAAACCTGAGCAAACAGAGATGTGTCCCTGGTTAGAACCCAAATGAACTCAATGAAAAAAGGCTGCCAGCAGGTCTACTTTTAGTTCAATAATCCAAAGTCCAGTCAAAGCCACTAGAAGTAGGGCTGAACGATTTTGGAAAATAATCTAATTGCGATTTTTTTTTACCAATATTGCGATTGCGATTTAATATGCAAATTTTTTTTTTTAAAGCTCTTTATGTTCTGTATTATTCAACAAAGACAAGCTATAAATCATTGTATAGTATGACCAACACACTATTAGATAGATTAAACATAAATGTTCTTTTCTGTAGGCAAGGCCTATATGTTACGATGAAATTAGGTGATGCATGAATTGATATGAATGACATTTTTATTTAACAACTACAATCACAGTATATTGACTGATTTGTTGAACTTCCAACCTTGTAAGCATGTAATAATTATGACAACATAAAGCACTGACAAATAAGCCTGGTGTAAACATTAATATGAAAGTCAGTAACAAATCACACAAATTAAGTAAAATGCAGAAATATAAAAACAAATCTGTTGCTTTACCAAACTACTTTAAGGAAATTCACAGTCACTGTAATAAACATATGTAAACATGTGCACTGCACTTTTTAAACACTGTCTGTTAACTTTAGACCAGTGGTTCTCAAACATTTTTGGTTGCGCCCCCCTCAGACTACCAAATAATTTCACTAAACATTATGAAAAATGTATACTTTTTTAATTTAAATCGACAGCATATCTGCTAATCTTCAACATGTTTTACACTAAGCAACACTTTTGAATTTAACTATTTTTAGTGTTTAAACCGGAAAAAATGCTATTTTATAAGTGAAGTCACTGACTTTTTGCGACAGGTGTGATTCGGCTTACGGCACTTCCCATTCATTCCTATGGAATCCGTAAACGGCGATTGAGTGTCGCACAACTCTGACTGAAATTCAATGATGTCAAGGCTGCAATGTGATTGGTTATTAAGGCACACGTGATCCGAGTTAGCCGTTACGCTTTCTCCAATAGTAAGTAATACAGACCCTCTCATGAAGCCAACGCTTCCGGTCTGTCAGTACGTGGGAAAGGAGACCAGAGGCCGTTTCTTTTTTAATGGATGTCAATGGAGGAGAGGCTTCACTACGCTGAATAAACAGCTTTACCCTCTCATCTCCCTATAGTAAAATAATCTCTGGTCCATCCAGAGTATGTCAGTATGCACTAGAGCAGTGTTACTCATTGCGCGGCTCGCCAAGCTTTACTTTGTGGCTCCCCTGGGCGGAAATAAACGATTGACTTTGCCCTATCAGTGCGGCTCCCATGAAAAAAATAGTGAAGACCACTGCACTAGAGTAAAGTAGCAATGTATGTACTTATATAACAGAAACACATTATACATGTTCATTATTAATACAATTGTTCTACATAGTCAGCTGCCTTAGAAGAAATAGAAACAGAACCTCATCAGGGGCTGATTTAAAATGCTCTAATTGAGAAAAACTATTGTTGTTTTGTTCTAATAAACAAATGTACCTAGCAAACACAAATATTGGGTAAAATAGCATATTTTCAATTACACTGAAATATTTTTTAGATTTTTTGCAGTACTGAATGAAACAAGTATAGTTATCATTTTATATATATATATATATATATATAATACTATTGTTCAAAAGTTACATTCAGATACATTTTTCAGGATTCTTTGATGAATGGAAATTGTTGAGGTAATCTTTATGTATCCTTGCTCAAAGTTTTTTGATCAATTTAATGGATCCTTGCTATATTAATTTCTTAAAAGAAAATAAAGTACTAACCCTTTTTGAACAGGCTGTATTGTGTTATTAGATTATACTGTATAAAGACAATGGAGAGATTGAGTGAGAGAAGCTAAAGTCACTTAAGACACGGAGTCATACCTGTAGTCCAGGGAAGAATGCCTGCAGAGAGTCAATCCATGTGTTCATGATCTGTCCATTAAACATGTTCACATTCACATAGAGTGGTGGGTCGCCATCTCCTTCATTACATGCCGCTCTTCTGTAAAAAGTATAAAAAGTAAAAAAAAGTGCAGTTGTGCACACTTAGACACAAGTTTTGCCAACAAAAACATTAAAACAGTTTATGAATGAACATCCTGAGGTGTGAGATCACAATGTCACGCCATAACTTCTGCATATCCAAGCAGTTACAGAAAATGAATAACAACCGTAAATATCAATCCAGACTTGCACTCATAACTACACAATCCAATTACGCTTATAAAAAATTTATTGCAAGCAGTACATTCATTGGCTGCAAACCATGTCACACTTAACCACAGATCCTAAGTGACACAATTTATCTGCAGGTGGTTAGACAACCACATGCAAATTCCTTTGGAAGCTCAAACTGCAGCCACAAACAGCTGTGGTCACACATGCACACATTTATAATCACCCTCTTCTCAGGTGGCTCTGAATGCTCTCATAAGCTGCAGAGAACATCCTGTAGTCTTCTTTCTCTCCAAACAAAATGTAGGACTTGAGGAGGTACTCATAGAATGAGTCCATGCCTGCACCGAGACCGCTCTGCTTCCCTACCCACTGACCAGTCTGAATGTTCACCACATTCCCTGGAAGATGGACAAGAGAATCATTACTGGTCAGACAAAGGCATGTGATCACAAATAAAAGACACTGGATTCAAAGCAAAAGAAAAAGAAAAGATCTATACAAGTGAAGTCATTGTTTAAAAGGATAGTTCACCCAAAAATGAAAATGTGTGCCGAAGAATGACACGTAAGAGAAGAAATTTATGAATAAAGTCTTTTTTGTTTTCTTTGCACACAAAAAGTATTCTTGCAGCTTCATAAAATTAAGATTGAACCACATATGTCACATGGACTATTTTAACAATGTCCTTACTTCCTTTCTGGGTTTTGAATGTGGTAGTTGTGTTGCTGTCTATGCAGGGTCAGAAAGCTCTCGGATTTAATATCTTGTGTTATGAAGATAATAATGGTTAAAAAATTCTTAATGGTTTGGAAAAACATGAGGGCAAGTAATTAATGACAGAATTTTCATTTTTGGGTGAACTATCCCTTTAAGATAGGACTAAAACAGACCAAAAAAAAGCAACCACTTACCCAACAGCCCAGTTTCATTGCTTCTCAAGTTCCAAAGAGCTTTAACAGCACGCCGGGCGACCCACTCAAATGTAGAGTCGCCAGTCAGACGGCTCAGAATGCCAAACTCCACGAGCAGAGAGCCCGCCCCTGCCGTACAGGTCTCATTAATGCTGTCAGGAGGGACGCCTCTCTTTAAATTCACCTGCACAAAAACATGGTAGGACACCAATATCAAATGCAGCAAAAACAAGGCATCATCTCTCTAAAATAGTGCTATGTAAGTTGGCCTGACCCTGGGATAGGGGATGCCAGTGCTAGTGTTCTCAAAGGCAGGTAGTAGTCGAACGGCCAGGTCATGCGCCAGGTGCAGCAGCTCATTATCATAGTCTTTCAGCGCTATGTCCCCAAACGGGTGCCGTGGATCAGTCAGCAGAATATGGGCCGAGATCAAACTGCCTAGAATTCTGAAAAGGGAACAAGTTAAAAACACAGATCCTGTTTTAAACACATTTTTATTTATTTTAGAAGGAGGAAGGAGAAGATCAGCATAATCATTGCATTATGAAGGGTTTGTTCTGTCAGTAATGACATTTATGTCATCATTTGTTCTCCCTCATGCTATAAACCACTGAACAGACTCAAATAAAGAGATCCATTAAAGAAAATTACTGCACCTAATGTTGGCCTCAAAGACTTGAACAGTGGAGTCCTTGTCAAAAGAGACCGTGTCAATCACAAGCTTAACAGCTCGATGGAACTCGGTCACATTTCCAAGAACCTACAGGGATAGGAGCAAAACTTTAATCACAGTGCATGTATGACTATTAAGTTATTCTGAGGTGAAACAAAAGTAAAGAATTCCTGAGATTATTTGTAATTAATAGTCCTGGAACAAGATGCATAGTTTGTTCAGGTGAGGCCATATCTTTTGTTGATGTGTAATTTTTTTTTTTCTAGATAGCTGAAAGTTAATCGTAAGCTCAGATAAATTCAAGGTTGTTTACTAGGACACATTTATCATGAAAACTGCTACTCCCTTTCTCCCTTCTCTAGTAGTGAAGGACACAGCATTCATGAAACATGAACAGAACAAATTTTAGCACTGGTTTCGAAACATGACTGTGTAATTTATGTTGTAGAACAAAAAAAATAAACCACAGACCTTTACTCATAAATCATAAATTAGCAGTTTTAAAACCCAAGGAGGAAATCCGTGGCTTGAAAATGGTCATTCTGTTCTGGATTTTAGGACTATGAACTGAACATTTCATTTTTTTTTTTTTGTAGAAGATTATGCTATACAGCAGTTCATCTGAATTTTGTTGTTGCATCTTAGACAACATTACAAAAACCAAAGCATCCTTTTACTGACAGTAAAAAAACAACTTTAAAACTAGAAAGCTTATTCAATTATTAACATTATCTAATAATTTGTGAGGATGAAAAAGAACCAGTTTCTTATATAAAGTTAAACTTAAGACATCTGTACAATAGGCTGACTTACCAACAGCGTATCAAGAGCATCGATGAGGGTCAAAGAGTAGTTTCCAAGGACATCGTTGATGTTGATATTTGATCTAGGAGAAACACACAAGCAAACGTATCTTAGGTTCATTATTGAAATACATTGGGTTATAATAAAAGCCAAAAAATATGCAGTGCTGGTCTGCTGGATATAAGAGACATTTCTCCTTTTCCATGCTTCAAAGGTCTCGTATTCACAGACATTGGGGCTGATTTGAAAAGTTGCATCTTGTTACTTGTTCTGCTTAAATACATGTGACATTGTGACATTTATGACAGTCACCTCTGAGAGAAAAAAAGATCACTATGAAAAGAGCTATAAATATAAATGCGAATTTAACTGAATTGAAGTTCTACTCTTGTGTTATCAAAAGACTAAGAGAAAAAAGCTTGATTAGCCACATTTTTGTGACATAGTAATGTCATTCCCATTCAGCGCACGTCTTTATCAGAATAATCTGTGTAAAGTAACTCAAGACTGATATTCAGATATTACTTCTTTTCCGAGAATTCACAAGAATAATGATGACATTATGCAGCACAAAGCGGCTGTGTTGTTTCATGAAAACTACAGATGCTCGTTTTGAGGGGTGATATAATATAACTTACGGGTTAAGCACGTCAGGTCCTCGACCTTCACAAGCTATAGGGTTCAGTTCGTCCTCTGGAAAGGCAAACTTCATGTAGTTATCATATCCGAAATAAAACATGTCTCGGGCCATTCCCTTCATCTTGACTTTCAGCGCGTCAGGGAAGGAGCTGTACTTTCTGTCATATTCATCTCTACCCTCCTGAAAGAAGCTGAGGTAGGATTTCTTTGGTGAATTCCCACTAATCTTGGCGCAGGTCTTTGCTTGAGGGTTTCTGTTATCGTACATGTGCTGTAACCAGGCGTTAGTTTTGACGGTGGCTCGGTCTCCATCCTGGAGAAGTTCGCTCTTATGCAAGTTGAACGTGAATTTGATGGGGTTGATCAAGTCAAAGCCCCAGCTGGGTCCCAGTCCAACCACTAGCCACACCGCGCAATTCAGCAGCACCCTCAAAACGAGAAGACCCACGACTATTGACCTCCATTGCATCTTTGCCTGCTGTCGGCCTTAAAAGTCATAATTCACTTCGACGTCGCGACTTGTCGATGCGCAAAAGTCAACAGTTTTCCTCCTGCGTTCAGTTCTCACACTTCCTGTCAACAAACCAGCCCCTACCTGATCCTCAACGCTGATTGGTCAGCCGCCGGCAACGTCATGACGAAGAGCAAATGGTTAGTGAATACGTCAATCACACAGCAGCAAACAGCGGAAATGTCGTGACAGCTCAACTTAAAAGCATCCCTGCATTTCTAAGCCAATGAGAAAATCACATGAGTGGTGTGACTATGTACACAGTCTTATCTGTTTAGTTACTACTGACTACTGCTACAATTACCTAATAATAATAATTCATAATAATACTAAATGTTAATGGAACAACTCTATTTGATAGTTTCAGCAGTATTTTATCAATTTGTTATTAAATAATGAAAATACTTCATATAATGATGAATAAAAAAATCCTATTTAATCCAAATTTTTTATTTATATAATTTTTAAGTCAGTATTATCATGTTAACATTGCAATAAAATGCTGATATATATGAACAATAAAGTACACAAAAACCTTAGTTACAAGTACCACATTAACTGTTAATAATAATAAAATCAGCCACAACAATGCAAGATTCCTCCTACATGTTGACAATCTATTTATTGGTTCATCATATTTACAAAAGTGCATTGATAATAGTGGGGTTTCCAACATTTGCCTCTTTTCACAAATATTTAGATGATAATGACAACAGTACAATAATCTACCTTAAAAAGCATGCCTTCGGTTCTTGCAGTTCAAAGTAAGCTGTCTTTATCCAATCTAGTTCCAGGCAGGCACACCCGGTATACTGTTTATCTTGAGGGACAGATACACTGCACAAGGCACTTTAACTTCACCTCTCAGCTCATGAACAGGATGCAAAGACATCATTGAGCTAAATGAAAACCTTTACCAGCAAAACATTCATCTTCTCAAATATACTTACACTCATTTCTGTAAAAATCCCTCTGAATCATCATTTGAACTGTTTATTTACTGGACTGCTCCTTGTATTTAAAGATTGCGGATTTCTCAAGAGACAATTTGGGGGGAAAAGAGAAAAGAAATAAAAGCAACAGTCCAAACGATATTACACGCTCTCAAGAGCTTAACCTAACAGACTGGAGGAAAAAGGCAGAACACGATATTAAAGTTTGAACTCTTCTCAGTTTTTAAATAGATTTGTTCAGGAAACCCCAAGTGGAGACCACCGGAGCTGCTTGGATTTGCAAAACCATGAATCCATAATGTTCATCTGACAGCAGGCTGTAAGAGGTGGAGGAACTAATTCTGCAGACTAGCATCTTTTAGCGACTGATTTATCTTTGACATAACTGATGCAGTTGGGAGGAGGAGCTTGTGAAGAATTATGGGAACAGACGAGCAGGGTAGTGTGAGGGGGCGGTACACTGCACAAGGCACTTTAACTTCACCTCTCAGCTCATGAACAGGATGCAAAGACATCATTGAGCTAAATGAAAACCTTTACCAGCAAAACATTCATCTTCTCAAATATACTTACACTCATTTCTGTAAAAATCCCTCTGAATCATCATTTGAACTGTTTATTTACTGGACTGCTCCTTGTATTTAAAGATTGCGGATTTCTCAAGAGACAATTTGGGGGGAAAAGAGAAAAGAAATAAAAGCAACAGTCCAAACGATATTACACGCTCTCAAGAGCTTAACCTAACAGACTGGAGGAAAAAGGCAGAACACGATATTAAAGTTTGAACTCTTCTCAGTTTTTAAATAGATTTGTTCAGGAAACCCCAAGTGGAGACCACCGGAGCTGCTTGGATTTGCAAAACCATGAATCCATAATGTTCATCTGACAGCAGGCTGTAAGAGGTGGAGGAACTAATTCTGCAGACTAGCATCTTTTAGCGACTGATTTATCTTTGACATAACTGATGCAGTTGGGAGGAGGAGCTTGTGAAGAATTATGGGAACAGACGAGCAGGGTAGTGTGAGGGGGCGGTATGGAGAACTGTACAGTTTCACAAAGTGAGCAAGATGTGGTGTGAGAGTAACATGGCAGCGGATAAACTTGGACCCTCTGAAGACACTTTCAGCTTCTTCTTGACTTTGAGTGCTGGATTAGCCATTGAAGTGTAATGTCTGTGAGGTTCAGGGGACATAACGGAGTCATTTAAGTCAAGCAGACTGGCAACATCATATAGCAGACAAAACAACTCATCCTCATGGAACATTACTTACCAATGTTATCTTTCTCTTTGCAGGAAATAGAGTAGCAGCAGATCTCCCGGTCTTGAATAGCAGCCAAGTTCCTAAAGAAATAGCACATGAGACAGAATACAGCAATTTAAGTGGTGTGGCTTCATTTCAGGCCAACAAGTTATTTCAGGATAAACTGTAAACAGAGTCCTACAACAAGAGCTCCCAGGAAATAATGAAGCTCCAACAACTCTTAGCCAACAGATGGCAGTAATTCTAGCAACAACATGAGACCCCCAAGCCACACAACCTTTTCATTTCATCCAGACTGATGGTTAACTCATCTCATTCTCACACATTTCAAAGAAAACACAAAAGAAATCTCAATCTGACACTGGCATAAAAAGTGGTGACAAAAGAGTGAAAAAAGCACACGATTATTTTACTCGAGAAAGAACTGAAACGGATTTGTACAAATAGAGCATTCCTTTATAATGAAGATAAAAATAAATAAACCGAGATGACCAGAGCCAGTAATGCAATTTCCTAATTATTATAATTATATTAAGTTTTCTATTATGGCAATGCAATCTTATTATTAGTGTCATATGGTTTGGCAGAATGCCATCAGAGACTGTAAAAGACAGAGCCAGCCCAATCGTACATATATGAATGCGAGCAATCGTAGCACTAAATGCAGCAGCTTCAGCAATGGAGGTCCTACCTTCCTTCCACCTCAAGAACATGCATGTGAATGGATCAGTTATTGAAACAATTTTGGCAAACATTTATGCAAACTGGCTAGAGAGAGAGAATAGTATAAAAAGCTATACTGGTTAAAGGATTAGTTCACCCAAAAATGAAAATTAGCTCACAAATTACTCACCCTCAAGTCATCCTAGGTGTAGCCAACAGTTCTACACGGAAGCAGCTCCGGGCGGATGACGTATGAGTTCAGCGTTGCGCATGCGCCGGTGAGTCTTGTGAAAACCAACATTTGTTAACAGGAGCAAAGGAAGCAAAGTTTCCTTACTTTAGCAAAGGAAAACCAGTCTCCTCTTGGCTTATATCGAAATCCTCCAACATTCTTCTTTACAGATCCTCGTTTTGTACTTCTAATAAGTGATCGTTGTTTTGTTTTGATCTCTCCCCTGCGCTTCCGCGTTCGTCACTTCTGAGCGGCACATGCGCAACGCCGACCTCATACGTCATCAGCCCGGAGCTGCTTCCGTTTACAACCGCTGGCGTAAGCTACATTAAAGTGATAATTACGTTTTGAATATGGATATTTTTCTTAGAAAAACGCATCAATTCGCTACAGGAGGCCTTTGTACACCCCCCGGAGCCGTGTGAGACACTTTTTTTTTTATGGATGGGTGCTTTTTATTTAACTTCTTTTGGACTGATGCATGCAACACCCGCTGAGTGGCATTAAACCGCTTGAAAGATCAAAGACCATTTTTAATATAACTCCGACTGGATTCGTCTGAAAGAAGAAAGTCATATACATCTAGGATGACTTGAGGGTGAGTACAAGTGAGTCTTCTCTTGTACATTCCTGCTCATCTTAATATTTATTAAGTCTACAGTATACTGTCCTGCGCATTTTATTTTATTCTTATTTTTTCCATACCTATATTTACATATAATTTTCTTGTGTTTGTATTCTTTAATAATTGCACTGTCCATGGAGCGGACCTGACTTACATTTCACTGCTGGTCATATATTCTCTATATAACCATGTATGTGACAAATAAAAATCTTGAATCTTGAAATCTTGAATCTTGAATTTGTGGACTAATTTTCATTTTTGGGTGAACTAACCCTTTAACTATTTATTTCCCCACCCATGTGACCAAATTATTACACGTTTTCTTTCAACATTTTAATATAAATAATGTCCATAAATCTATTTAAGTAAGCATGGTCCATTTTTGTTCCATGTTGACTTTAAAGTGTCCCTATTATGGATTTTTGAAAATTACCTTTCATGCGGCATGTAACACAGCTCTAAGTGAATGAAAATATCCTGTAAAGTTTTCAATCTGAAAGTACACCGTGTATAAAGTTATTGTCTCTCAAAAGAAAGAGTCGACTCTGAATCATTTAAACGAGTCGTTTTAAAACGAATCCCAAGCCATTTCATGTTGACGTAAACATGAAACATTAGCATATTGCCCACCCACTTTTTGCGCACGCAGACCTGGGAAAACTTGAACCCCCCTCCCTCAAACACAGTAGCAGATTCCTGTGGATAGCATCGTGTCGAGAAGACGCTGTGCTCTGCACTATGAGGGTAATCTCAGCCTCAGGCGTCACGCCCACGGACCGTTGGCTAAACGTCTGATGCATATGGCACACAAAAGTGGAAACACTTCAGGAGTTTCGAAGTCGTCGTCGGATTGGTTGAATTATACAGGTTTTTCCGGGAGACGTGTGTGTCGCGTTCTTTAAAGTTCCGCCTGGAAACAAAGATGCCGTGCCGCCAAACCCCCTCACGAAAGAAGAAAGCCGTCATGTTTACAACTGTGACGACGAGCGCTTATCAGGATCAACTAAACACTGGATTTTCAAATGTATGTGAAAAAATTTAAGTTCGTGGCATAGAATCTTTAAAATACGTCCTAGAGTTTTACACACCGGTCTGTTATTGTGGCGACATTTCCACGCCCCGAAACGTGACGATGAACAAAACGAACTGTGATTGGTTGTTTGACATGTCGGTCAAACGGCCTCATGGGTGGGCCTTGGCCAATGAAAGCTGCCATGGATTCCAGACCTTCAGCCGTCAGTCTGAAGATCTGGCTACGCGAGACTACTATGAGGGTAAATCAATTTTTACCCTCGGATTTGAAAATGCAAATTCATTCTTTGCCACTAGGGTGCCGCTTTTGGAGCGGTAAAAATAGCTGTTTCCCCGGTAACGCTGTACACAAAGCAGCACTGTGCTCACAAATGCTACTTTATCAGGCATTACAGGCATGATGAAATGGAAATTAAATTGACCAATCGGATCAATCACCACAGATTAGCATCATGCAAAGGAGGGGTTTGGAAAAATTAATCGTTGAGCGAATCGTTTGGGAGTTGTTGAGCAAATAAGGTAAAAATAAATGCATATTATAAGACAATGAAAGTGTTTTTTTGACCTTGCATTCATGTCAACCTGTTTTTGGGGACTCCCAAAACCAAAATATGAACCTTTCATAACCCATAATAGGGACACTTTAATTCAAACAGCAGCGGAAAATCATTTTATGCCTGTGTGGTGTAGAGTTTCTTACATTTTTTCAATTAGCTGTTTCTCATCCAACGCATTAGGTAGATCTCTCTTATTCCCGAGCACCAACACCTGAAACACAAAAACATTCATAAGAACTGATGCAATGAAGATGTTTAAGCAATGATGTGCTGTAAAAACAAGGACAAGTGGCTTACAGGGATTCCTTGTAACTGTGGCTTGTCTAAAAGATTGTGCAGCTCGTTTCTGGAAGCTTCAACCTTCTCCTGGTCTGCTGCGTCCACCATGTACCTTTGAGAGAAAATGAAAAAGAAATGAAAGAATGCACATTTTATTACTTTATAATTAAGAATACAGTCCTCTTTCCCTCACAGAAGATGGATGCATTAATACTTACACTATTGCATTCACCCCACGACAGTATCGCTCCCACATGCTCCTGAACCTCGGCTGACCTCCTATATCCCAGATCTGCACAATAATCAGACCCATGTTAGTTTAAGTATTTATTATTTACAAAAAATCTTGCACCTTATATTTCTCCTGAATCCTAAGAAGCCAAGATTAATAGTTAGGACCAAACCTTGATGGTGACGTTGCCTTTTGTGACCTTCCTCATGTTGAACCCGACAGTTGGAATCATGTCTTCGCTGAACTGGCCAGACTGAGGGAAAAAAAAGAAGAGATGGAACTGCTTTCATTATTTCACCTTAAACAGTTTTGTTTTTTGGTGGTTGTGACGCCCAATTTATTTTCCTGTTGCTGTAAGCGTAGGCCTGCAGTCACTGGTATTTAAGGGCCTCCCATCAGAAACATTTTTTTGATCTATGATTCATAGTGAAAGTTTAAACAAAAATCAAGCCAGGAAATTTCTGCGTGGTATATTGCCATCTACTGTACTAACCAACCAAAATTCTCAAATTCAGGTCACTGCCACTGTCAACTCTTCTGCCAAGTAAAGGTTTTGTGCCTGCATCGCACAGAAAAATGTGCAATCGACACCATCATAGCACCAAACGTTAACTATTTGAGAGCTTTTTTTTTTTTTTTTGAGTAAATTTATGTGTAATTTTGCGGTTGCAAAAGAAGTTCATGCATTCCTCATGTTTATTCAAACAACAAAAATAAATCTGTCATCCCATAAAGCAATTCATCTTTAGTACTATAAGTCATGTCATTAATAACCACTAATGAGCCAGGACTACTTGAATTGCACATCTAAACCACAAGACCACCTTTCCTGTATTGAATCAGTTTTGATGTGGTCTGCCTTTAATGGGGAAAATTCCCTCCCCATAAACACTTTCCCTTATTTGTCATGCTGTTGCCAGTAAAACTTTTTAAACATTAGGACCACCTCCCAGTATTCTGACATACTCATTCAGTTCTTGACTGCATAGTCATATCTGCAGATGTAATTCCCTCCATTGGCTAATAATAGCAATTATCTGCGTCAGCCTGATAATAACAAAATATGCCAATATTGAATTTTTAGTAAAGGTAGCTATATCATGATGCTTACTATATCATGCTATAAAACTACTCCTAGTTAGATATAAGATTTTTCTCACAACTCCCACAAGTAGTATATTCCATTTATTTATTTTTTTGTTAAGTGTACAGTATGTATCATACTAAAGCAATAAAAGACAATGGAAATAACTGCACTTGACAAACATTCTTCATTTTTAGAACAGGAATTTTTTCACCCAATTAAGCAAGCTAAAACACTGAATCTCGGTTCTACGTGAATTCTAATTACTTAACAGCATGTTTACTAAGTGGAAAATAACTGAGAATATGCATGTTGCCCTGCAGTACACCGAACAAAAAATAGCTAAGGATTGCGGTGTCAACATCTCTGGCTGCATGGCTCTTGCAGCTAATAGTGAACAAAGGATACTGAGTCAGCACTCTATCTCAGGCTGTCTGGCAACAGGGAGAAAGATAACTAGCTCCTTCATACTATCAGCCATCATTGCTCAGAGAGATCCAGACAGAGCTGGGTAAGTCAAAGATGCTTCAACAAGATATTCTGACAGAGTTTGTTTGAGCACCAGGTGCAAATAGCGCAGGGCAGAAGCTCCCGCATCTCTGTGCCCTGATGAAAACATAATTGCACTTGTTGCTCCATTTGAACAATTAATGAGATATCAGTTCACACATGGCCACCTCAGAAGATGCAATTTCCACCTGAGGTGCTGAAATGATTAAACAGCAAGAGTCTATATAGAGGTGGTGGAGTGAAGACAGCAAAAACTGTTCACCTGGAGGCTGTGAGGCAGAAATTCATTACATGATGCAACAAACAAATTCAGCTGCTGTATGTCAGGTCAGAAAACACAAAATAAACAAATAAATATATCTTTTTAAAATCTGTACTGTTTTTCCGTACCTTACTGCCTTACATATCTATAAAAATATTAAATAATAATAACAATTATGTGTTTCTTTCTATATAATCAGAAATTCATATTTACTAAATAAAAAAGAAACATGTTTAAACCACCTTCTGTGATTCGGAGTTGAGGTGGTCTGCCTTGATGAAGGAAATTCCCTCTTGCCTGCTTTTTCACATCTAGTAATATGTGACCCTGGACCACAAAACCGGTCATAAGTAGCACAAGTATATTTGTAGCAATAGCCAACAATACATTGTATGGGTCAAAATGATCGATTTTTCTTTTATGCCAAAAATCATTAGAATATTAAGTAAAGATCATGTACCATGAAGATATTTTGTAAATTTCCTACCATAAATAATTTTTTAATATGCATTGCTAAGAACTTAATTTGGACAACTTTAAAGGTGATTTTCTCAATATTTTGATATTTTTGCACCCTCAGTTTCCAGATTTTCAAATAGTTGTATCTCGGCCAAATATTGTCCTATCCTAACAAACCATACATCAATGGAAAGCTTATTTATTCAGTAAGGGTCATAAAATCAATCAAAAAATTGACCCTTATGACTGGTTTGGTGGTCCAGGGTCCTGATTAAATATGTCAACTTTTAATCAGAAAATGCAGCTTAATATTTTATTAAGTCCTATATTCTGAATCTGAAATGTATTCTTTTACTGCATGAACTTTGCATTTGTTGCATTGACCCTGTTCAGTTGAACCAAACACAAATCCAAGAGAAATATTCCCAACCAATGAATATTCAAATTACATGATGCAAAATGTAAAAAAGTGGGCTAATGTGACCAATTCATGAAGTTTAGGTGATGAATCTGACTTTCCTAATCACATGATATGTACACCACTGCTTATGAAGGGGCTCCAGAATTTAAGACTTCCCTTTAAGCATACTCATGATTCATAAGCATGCCAGGCACGCAGAATATCTTGAGCTTCAAAGAACTCTCCGTCAAAAGGTCAATCAGACCTATTCGGGAGAGGAACATTCTGAAAAAATTTTCAAGAAAATCCACACGTGCTCTCCAACAGTTTGAAAGAAGTCATTACAGAAGACAGAACTACAAATACATGCATCAAACAAGGCAAATGCTCACACTGAACACCTAAGCCTTTTGAGCAATACAAATGAAATCTGAAAAGCTTTCTCTGTTTACCACATTAAGAGACACATTTTAACCTTACAGTATCTAGCCTTCTACCAAGGCAGATAAAGAAGAAATGTAACTGAACTACTGTGACCAGCACATTATCTTATTGTGTACTCATGCACCAAATCACATGATGAGGATGTCACATGACCAGGAAGAACCGCATTCAAATGCGTCTGAGTCTTGTGACTAATTGCAGAAACTCCCACATTGTCTAAACTCACACAAACACACACACACACACAAATACATACAGTGCTACAACATTTTAATGGTGACTGTACACTGAATATATACATTACTTTCACATTGCTAAAAATATTTGATTTCAAATAAATTCTGTTCTTTTGAACTTTATATTCATTAAAGAATCCTGAAAAAACTATCATAGTTTCCACAAACAAAATTAAGCAGCACAACTGTTTTTAACACTGATTCAAAGAAATGTGTAATAATAGAGTAAAACTGGATCATCCAATGAACACTATGCAGAATGCTATCATTAAGACATAAAAATAAGGTTGAATGACCCTCACACCACACCATGCACTAAAAACACAATTAGACCGGCTCCCAAACATAAAGTGCCTTTAAATGAACCAAAAAGACAGTAATTCTGCAGCTATACTTTAAAGATAAGAACTGATGCTATGTCCACATTAAGGGGAAAGTGTTAAAGATACATCAGAGTAACTCAGAAAATCTGTTTCTTCACCATTTAAGAATGTTTTTGATCATTGCACAATACTATTATAATTACACTAAACCTTTAACTACCTGACCAGTTGAACCATATTTTCTATGTACAATAATTACTTTTGTGCACTGCTCTGTCTTTAGATTGGATTAGGGTTAGGGTTAGAAATGATCTTGCAGAACAAGTCTTACATGCTTGAGAGTACAAGGTTATATACTATTTTTTTGCCCTCAAATGTGGTCCAGCCAGACTCAGGGCACTTGTTGCACCAACAACGCAACTCAATGCAATGCAGAGAAATAGTATCTATTATTAGAAACTTATTAGTGACAAATAGGCTTATATAGAGCAAGTATCAAGCAGCAAATCACTGTCTTGCCTGTATATGTGCAAAGACTCTAATAAGTGACTCACTTTTGATCGATGATACCTGCATTGATGAATACTGATGTTGTGGAGAAGATAAAAAGCAAGATGACTCATGTGCTTCCTAGATCACACATCCAGTTTCCCAACAGCAAAAACAAGCTCATCAAAGGAACAACAACAACAGGATATTTGAGCATGAAATCTGCTTATTATGATTTATTAACTGAAATATTAAACAGCCTTGGTTAATCTCATTCTTCTTTAAAGGTGCACTCAGTACATTTTTGTTCATGTTTATCTGGCTCTTATTTGTTCCCATATATATGTAACTTCCATATAATAGAAATTTATAATGCAATTTCAGTGTTTTTTTTCCGCATTGTTGGTAGTTTGTGTTTTATGCTGCTATGACTGCTACCACGTACTGTCACTAAAAAGGTATGGCTGTTTGCAGGACAGCAGTATGCATGGTGCATCTATGATGGTTGTGTTATTTTTAATTGTTATTATTAATAATAACAACTGTATAAATTGCATGGTTGATCATGTGAAGCCAACATGGTGGTGATGGGGTGACCTAATCTAAGTAAAATAAACCTGCTTTTTCAAAAAAAAAAAAAAAACTGATACATTTGGTGTCCTCACATCATCATATTTCTCAAAAGTGACGTTGCCTTAGCATTTTTAATTAGAAAAATTGTGAAAGTGAAAGCTGAGAATTCACTGGGTTGTAAATTCACATGCATGGGATTGGAGTTTGTCACTAATCATTCCTGCATGAATTATTCTTTACTTCTAAGCTCTTTCATGACCAAAAACACTCTTTAAGCATACATAACATCCATACACCTAACCAATACATCCAGTAAGTTTTAGTTGCCACTATCAGCTGGATTTTAATTTCTCTCTAGAACTCAGATCAAGATAACAAAAGATTAAACTGAGTTAGCATTTTTACAAGTAGGTTTTGACGTCAGTGATATGTGGAGCTCATTTTACAATATGTATTTAGTAAACTGTCAACTGAGGTCAAAATAAACTACCCACTATGCAATCAAATTATTGATGGTCATCTGGGAGCTAATGTTAGCCGGTTAGCTTTTCCAAAAACGTAGAATAACGTCCACTAAGTAAGTCTAGCCAACTAATATACTGTGAATTCAAGTTAACCTAGCTCCATTATCTATTATCTGTAAGCAAGCGTGTTAAGTGCCTGGTGTACTGGACTGACATTCAGTCTCTTGGATTTGTTGAACTAGCTCATGCTAACCGCAAACACTCACCGCGATTACGTTAACAAACGTCGTTTTCCCCGAATACTGCAGCCCGACGAGTGTTAACTCCATTTCTTCCTTCCAGAAGAGAGACTTAAACCAGTCCAGGAGGCGGTTAAAAAGTGTCAACATTTTGATGCTGGATTAAACAGGTCTGTGTTGGTTTTGGTTGTTTGCAATGTTTTTCACCACTAGAATCGTAACGTAGTGTTTGGAGGACCTGACCGCCGTCATATGACTGTGAAACGTTTGCGAACTCAAAGTGTCATGCGAGTTGAAGCTGCGCCACTCTTACGCAGGCCTGCAGTACCGATGGAAAGTCATTTCAGCGATTCGGTTCTTTCGAACCGTAGAAAGCCAGTCCAGTGTGTCTTCAATGTCATAAAGTCATTTCTGTCCCCATTACAGCGTAAAAACCATATGTAGCCACATACTACTGCTGTTGACGGGTTTATATCAAGTTATGGTAAAGTTTTACATTTAATTAACATTAACAATTATAGCCTATTATAGAGTAGGCTATTTAGTATCTTTAACGTTAGTTGATAAAAAGCCTACAACTGTTCATTGTTAGTTCATGTTACTTAGATCCATTAAATAATATTAACAGACACTTTTTAATAATAATAGGCTAATAGGCTGCTAAAAATAAAAAAAATTAAAAGCTAAATGATAAATATGTTTCATTGTTAGTTTATGTTAAAGAATATAGTTCATTAATGTTAACAAATGGAAACTTATTGCAAAGTGTTATTAGTTTTTATTAATTGTGATGTTTATTTATTTGTCCCAGTCCCAGTTGTTGTTCCCATTATTGCCTACAGCTTATAAAACTTGAAAGTTATGTAGATCCTAAAATATATTTAGCATGTACAATGAACAATAATAAAATACATTTACATTTCTTGGCAAAAGTCATTGTAATTCAGTGCTACAACTCTATATGTTGGCCAATGACCATAATACAATTTATTAATTGAAAATAAAATGCATACACAAAATTGCTGAAACGCTTGTTTTTATGATATTCACAAAAAAACAACAACAAAAAAAACATGTCTATTAGCATATCCATTGATGTAATACCATATTTTAATATTTAAAATATTTCACACTTTCAAATGCATGGTCCAAACCTAACTTGCAACAATAAGACAAATAGAGTTTTGTTTAGCAAAAGTATTCACAAATATTTTATATGTACAGAATCTGTAAACTATAGAAAGTGGACTATAGAACGTATAATTGACTATGAAAAATAAATGTGCTTAACAGATGTGAAATAACTATAAAATTAAAGCAGAAATGGCACATACAAGCAAACAGGACAAACCACCCTATCTAGTTCTCATGTGACAAAAGAAAAAATCAGACGAACATCATAAAAAAAGACAAATATGAAGCATTAAATACTAAAAAGGCTTGCTGTTGTGTCTGTTAATCTTTGGTCCAATACTTATGAGGTATTTCTTCTATATTACTATTTCCCCAGGTAAATCTCTTGTGAAACCTTACATTTGTAATGTTTAATTACACACGTTGCTTAATTGCATAATGCAAACTGTTCTCTGCTCTTGTAGAAACTTTGAATCTTTTAACAGTTTTTACACTTACAAAAACTGAAACTGAGATGATGACACCTTTGTGCAGTGTTCTTCACAATACAGAGAACCTTTAAGGAAATCTGTGGACATCATGCTTGCAAGGGACTTCCGAGAGCTCTGTCTTGGAGTCCTTTTCCTCACCCTCTTCCTCCTTGGATAATTTGCAACTGCATGTATCTGAGGGCAATACCATCCTATGTGTGCACGACGGTTTGCTTACTGTGGAAAGACACAATTATATCAGACATGGGAATTTTATTTACCAAAAAAAAAAACATTTGCAAAAGGTTTACTAGTGTTAGACTTATATATAGATAACTAGAAATTGGACAGATATGAAAATGTTACTTACTTTTTGTGCGCATCTTGTATCTGAAAATTTTAAAAGCAGTATACATGATAAAAACCAGGCAGGTCAACACAGTGACTGCTAAACAGGCCAGCATGAAAGGATGAGTAGTCTGACTCCCATTGTTTTGTGCCCCTTGGTCTCCTGGGTGAACTGTTGTGAATTCTGCTGTGGAAAAATGAGAAAAGCATTTGCAGCATTTCTTAAACACATAGAAAATCTAAAAGAAATTTAGAGGTAAATTTCACACAGAGCATGAATATACACTAATTTAAGATGCCTCCTCAAATATTCTTCAATAAATTTAAAGGTTATATACTGAGTATACATATTCCATATATATATATATATATATATATATATATATATGGTTCTCACTGCCATGGCAATGGAAATCCAGGGATTATTAGAGTATTTTTTAAATTGAGCTTTCAAATTTCGAAATAGACACATTTATGTTCAAAATATTGGGGTCGGAAAGATTTTTTATTTTATTTTTTTAAGAAATTAATACTTTTATTCAGAAGGAATCCCTTAAATTGATCAAAAGTGACCATAAAACATTATACAGATAGTATAATAAACATGATAGCTCAAATAAATGCTGTTAGGGTATATATAAATTATAGGCTTAATTTTTAATTACAAATATGGGATATGAATGGAAATCCATGGTCAACAGGCATATGAGCCCCATGACAGTATGTGTTGAACATGTCAGCAGTAAAAAGTACAAACCAGAAGGGCCACATCTTGCATTGTGGGTCTGGTTTCCAGGGAAGATTTCACCACCAGCACATCTAATTTCAGAAAATCGGTTATCATCTGATAAACAATCTCAAGGCATTCTCTTTTTCAGAACTCCAATGAAATGTAGCAAACACAAAGCTTTACTTTGTAATGGATTTACACGTGCTGTCCTCAACATCATTGTAAGTGTTTTCTGGACATGACTCACAAAAGTATGTATAATCAAAGGCACCTGCCAAAACAAAACAAAAAAGCAGCTGAAGGATTTCAAGTAGTATTTGTACCACGCTAATGTCTCTCAGCCCTCATGCCCTCTACACTCTTTTACCATAAAAAGTCCCCATGGAAAGACCCACAGATATGATGAGCTCATAAATAACAATCATAATGGACACGTGTCATTTCATTTAATAATAATAATAATAATAATAATAACAAAAACACTTTACCAGTTCTCCTCAGCTGATGTCCAGGTTTGCATTTTTCCCTGGGGTCACAATTTGTACATTTATCATCAGAACATACGTGATTATCATTGCAGAAACATTTGTCCATAGCCGAAATAGCTGTTAAACAATTCTCACACACACTGTCACTTTTGTTCTCTGAGCATGTTACTTTGGGATACTGATCTGTAAAATACAACAATGAATGACATTCAAATCAAGTTAGGAGATTTTCACATCTTACTTCAGTGTAACAAACATTGACTTTCTCCAGAGGGTTCCACCAATGATATCAATTATCTGCTATAACAGTGTTTAAATGAAACTTTAGTATTAATGTGTGCTAATAAAGCTGTAACTCGACTTATAGGTAAAGAATATGTACAGCACTAAAGTTTAGCATTCTACATGCATTAATCACAAACAGTCTTGAGAATATTATAATGATCTTACCTGAAGGACAAGCTGTACAACATTTCTCTCCATATTCATACTCAGTGGTCCAGTCACAGTCTATATAAGCCAGACTCAAAATCCAGCCGCCACAAACACAGAGCAGCATAAACCAGAGCTTAGCTGTGTCCATTGTATCACAGTGGTAGATTGAGCATTGCTATCTTTTCTCATTTGCCTTTTATGACTGCCGTGACATCATCCTGTGACGTTTCCTCACACCCACATGAAGAGGCGTGCAGGGCCAAAACCAATGTGCCCAGGACTGAGAGTGAAAACACGCAAAGACCTGCAACCAGACTGCGCTGAACTTAATCATAATCTCACTGGACATGTTCTAAGAAATTTCTTGGAGAAGTATGTGTTTTGTGTCATTTTTTTGGGAAAGAGGGAAGTAAAATGTGAAACGTTATGCAATTTATGGGGAAGGAGGAAATATATGCCACTTGAATCTTTTCATCTTTTCCATTTATGGACAAAAATGTCTTTGATGTTGTTGGCTGAAATGGAAACTATGGCTGGATGTGAATATCCAGGAAATATTTATGAAAAAGTCATCCACTCTTTCACAGATCATAAGATTGTGGGTCATGGTTAATCCAGAAATGAAAATTCTGTCAACATTTACTCACCCTGGTGTTATTTCCAAACTTTCATTTTCTTTCTTTTGTGAAAGAGAAAAGAACATGTTTTGAAGTAACTTGTTTTTGTTTTACAATTTTCATTGTACACACTTATATAGGCTCTTTATGGGCATCTGCGGTTCCATATAGAGCCTTTAACATCCATGGAAACTTTCCATTGCACAAAGGTTCTTTATAATGTAGATGTTCTACATTCTTTTAAGGTCTGTTCACTGAAAGGTTCTTTTGGAACCTTTTTATATGGACAAGAAAATCCTGACATATTTTCCAGAATATCTTCTCTTGTGTTCCACAGAAGAAAAACAGTCATACACATTCTTAATTTGTATCACCAAGCGTACCAGTAACCATGTGTCATCTTATCACATGTGGCCCCAATAGGGAACAGGTATGTACCAGTCTGGTGAAAGGACAACTTCTCCTCTCCTAACTTCTCCTTCTCCTAACTTCTCCAGCTAAAACTCACTACATTTTAAGCAGTAATTGGCAGATGAAATGACTTCAGTGGTGTCTCTACATTAGGGGTCAGTTGGACCAGGACCCATAAGTTTGTGTGCCTCTGTAATGGCTGTGGCAACTGATTGTAAATTCTTAAGTATACACGCAAATAACAATTTGTTAGAGGACTTTTGGCAGAGACAGCGACAGAGATCAGCAGAAGTGATGGAGAAAGAGAAGAAGAGTAGAATCTATACACAACATGAGCTGGAATCAAACTCTCCAGCATCGCAACACCACACACACCAACCACTGGTGCACATAGACCAACCACTAGCCCACTGCTTCATCAGCAATACTGCCTTTTCAAAGAATCTAGGAAACCTAAGCAAACCACCATCTTCACCAGTTTTGACAGGCATGTCACAGAAGTATTCAAATACTAGCTGATATACAACTTCTCCACCACCTACATACTCTGCTACGGGTGATAAAAACATTGCCGTCACCAGTGTTATCGAGGTAATCTAGTGTAAAAGGAAGGAACACAGCATCAGAGAGGATCTCTAAAACCTCAGTTGACAACATCTGTACCAGTCTGAGAAAATTTTATAGTCGGAAAGAGTTTTTTTGCTTGCAATTTATAAAAGCGAATGTGAAATAGCATTCACAACCCATTTTACCTCAGTAATGGGACATATTTCTATGCGAAATAAGATATTGGATTCAGTTTGATCATGAAAAATCGGATTTCCACCAGTCCACCTGTTCCTCTGATGTTACAAACGCCACACAGGATATTAGATTACAGGCTGTTACCAGTGACCAAATATCTACAGACCACATGTTCAGAGCCCCCCCCCCCCAAACAACAAAATGCATTAAAATTT